CAGGAAACATACAAGAGTCAACCAATGAATGCATAAATAAGTGGAACAACACCCAGCTGGTGAAAATTTTAATTTTCAATTATAACAGACATTCAATATTATGTTAGTTCCAGGTATTCTGCATAGTAATTAGACATTTATACAACTTAGGAAGTGATCTCCCTATAAGTCTGGTACCCACGTAGCACCATACAGTTATTACAATACTAGTGCCCTGGTGCACAGATTTGTCCACATTGAAAGAAAATTGTAAGGTGGCCAGCAGGGTGGGACTGGATGAGATGGGCCGGACACGCCCTGGAGTCAACCTCCCATGGCCCTTCCCTGCCAGGCACCTGGGACGGCGCGGAGTGACTAGAAGGTTGTCTGCAGAGGGTTCCCTCCAGCAGGTGGGGTCCTTTGGCCTGGCCTGCAGGAATCGGGCAGAAACTGGCTCTCCGACATCCCCCGCAGGGTCCTGGATTGTGAGGGTGGTTCATGGGTGATGCACCCCGGAATCGGACTCCCTCCTCTCTGGTTCCAGATGCATCACCCTTGAACCGCCGCTGCCAAGTCACCGCAGCTCAGAAGCTCCTGCGTTGAGTGTCTGCCCCCTGGTGGTCAGTGTGTGTCATACCTACTGGTTGGTCGCTTAGCCTTTTATATAGATAGATAGATTTTTGACTATATTCACTATGCTGTACTTTACATCCGCATGACTATTTTGTAACTACCAATTTGTACTTGTTAATCCCATGAACAAAAAAGATTTTGGCTTCCAGGTTTGTATGTCTAACAGCTGAAAGACTTAAAAGTGTTTCCTCATGTGCTCAAGTACACATACATTGAAGTGTTAACAGTGGTTTCCTATGTGGTGAGCTTATTAGTGTCTTATTTACACTTTCTGTAGTGTTGGCGCCAACAGTGAAATATGTCATTATTTTCTATTTAATACATTTAGAAAAAACTAGCCTGAATGGCAACTCCTGTCTTCTCTTATTAACTAGTAATGCAAATTTTCAATCTGAAAGGAATTAGCAAACATTTAAAGAATGATTTTCCAGCCCTGACTGGTTTGGCTCAGTGGATAGAGCGTCGGCCTGCGGACTGAAAAGTCCCAGGTTTGATTCCAGTCAGGGGCATGTGCCATGGTTGTGGGCACATCCCCAGTGGGGAGTGTTCAGGGGCAGCTGATCGATGTTTCTCTCTCATTGATGTTTCTGACTCTATCCCTCTCCCTTCCTATCTGTAAAAAATCAATAAAATATATATATATAAAAAAAGAATGACTTTCCAATCTACCTCCAAGTCAAATTTAAAGTTCTTTTTCTCCCATCCGTGATCAAAACCTGATCATGTGCTTACTAATGATATTAAATCTGACGATTCTCTCCCTAATCATTATTTTAAAAATATATATTTTTATTAATTTCAGAGAGGGAGAGGAAGAGATAGAAAACATCAATGATGAGAGAGAATCATGATTGGCTGCCTCCTGCATTCCCCCTACTGGGGATCAAGCCAGCAACCTGGGCAAGCGACCTGCACCAGAATTGAACCCAGGACCTTTCAGTCTGCAGGCTGACGCTCTACCCACTGAGCCAAACCAGCTAGGGCAAATCATTGTTACATTTCACTTAGGTACCTCATTAGAAATTTGCCTTCCCCATGAAATGAATTTACATAAGAATCTCTCGAGTCAAGACAAGAGTCGAGAGTCTTGACAATGAATTCATTAATAAACACATCCAAGAGAACTTACATTAGAGACAATAAATGTCTTATCTAAACAGCAGCTTGGAAGAGTCCTTTATGGGTAACACACGTATTTACAGATTAGAAATAGGTCTAACTGCTTCCAAATAATGGGGATGTAAACAACGTAAGACTGGCCATACAAAAGAGAACTTAAACTAGGTGATGGGTTCTCATTATACTATTCTCCCTATTATCTTTGTATTTAAAAATTCTTTCAAAATAAAAAAATGCTCCAATAGGACCCCCCCCCCCCAAAGCCAGATTTGGGAATCTAATTTGGCTGACCATACCAATTTTTGCCAAAGCAAGCTCTTTGATTTCCAATTCTCTATTTCCAGAATACCTAATTTACATAGCTGCTGTGAGAATTAAATGAGAGATTATATATAAAATCATCTCCAATACAGTGGCACATGAAATTAAAAATTGGTAGAAGCTCTTTGATGAGATAATGACCAAGTATCAATAGAATGTCATGTAGACTAAAAATGCATCAACATACCATCAGATATTATACACAATAGCAATGGAAATATTTTCCAATTATCTAACCACCTTCCAAAACAGCAAATTAAACGATTTAAGGAAAACATGCTCTGAATACCCACCATACTTACTAAATTTCAGAAAAAACATCAGATTCCCATTATAAAAAAATCATAATTTAGCTTTGCCTTCTATTGATTATAATTTGCCGTAGGCTTTCAAACAGAAAATAACTAAATTTAATTATAGGCAGTCACCTTAACATTGTGAAAAATTATGTGCATTTATTTGCATTCACTATTGAAACTTGTTTTGCAAAACAAAGGTGTTTGCATAAAGCGCATTTTAATCTTTCGAAAAATTTTTTTAACTGGTTTTCTATAATCAAAATTGTATTGATAACAGCAGCTACCATTTACTGGGCCTTCTATTGTACCAAGCACTACTCCGTGACTTTTGCTTACAGCAACTCTATGAGCTCCTATTGATTGCCTCTAGTTTACATTAAAAATAAAGTTTCTGGGCTGTCCTGAATGATCACAGAGGTGTACAGGTGTGTTTTTTTCCCCTACTTCTTAAGTGAACGGCAACTGATTCCACACTGTGACTGCACTAAACAAGACAAAAACCACAAACGTGAATGACGACGTTCAGGGCTTAAAAGGTCCGAGTCTATCGGGGGTAACCAGCTTCCCCCCGACAGCAGAGCAGGTCTAATGGTCTCCGCCCAGGGAGCGTGTCCAGCGGCCTAGTCGTCTGGAGTTCTGCACAGACGCGGGTCACCACCTTCCTCAGATCAGACAAGCATCTCCAGACAGCCTATCATCTTGATGGGCCACCTCCTCCCTCCGAGGCCCGTCTTCGGAAGTCCAAGGGTAGCGGGCTCCCCAAATTCACACCTGCGGTAGGCCCCGATCCTCCACAGAGAACACCTGAATCACCCGGTGCTCAACTCCGGGCCGCCGGAGCCAGCGGGGCCCGCCAGGCCCCTGAGCCACCCTTCCGGGCCTCTCCCCTGGAATCTGGCCTGGTGTTGGGCGTCGGCCCCCTCTCCCCTGAGACCGCCAGGGCCCGGGGCCGGCGAAGCCGCGGCCTCCGGACGCCTTCGCGGCGCCATCTTGAGAAGGGAAGACGGTGACACCCGTCGCTCCCTCCGCCAGACCGCAAATCCTGATCCTCCAGAGCCTCTTGAAAGAGGAGTCCGCGGGGCCGGCAGGACGAGACGCCGAGTTCGACAGCTCTCTGGTCCCGGGTACTGGCGCGCGAGAGGCGGGAGGGGCGGGGGGCTCGGTGCCGGCAGGGCCCCGACAGGCTGGGGCCGGCAGATCGCCTGGGGTCCCGGCCCGCCCCGGTTACCTGAGACCGCAGCTCGCAGGGCCGCGGGGCGGAAGCTCCTGGCAGCAGGTCCCTGGCGGAGCCCGAGCGAAGGCTGTGGCTTTGGCGGCGATGCGTCTCCTCCTCGCGCCGCTCCCCTCAGACTGGACGGTGCGGGGCTGGCGCCGTGGTGCCGCCCCCGTCGGCCTCGGTCCCCGCCTCTCTCCGCTCCGCCTTCCTCTTTCCTTTCTCCTCCTCCTCCTCCTCCTCCGCCGCCGCCGCCGCCACCGCCACCACCGCCGGCGCGCGAGTTCCCACTAATTCTGCCTTCTCCTCCCCCTTCCTCTGCCTCCTCCCCTCGGGGCGGCCGCGGGCTCCTTCGCGAACCAAAACACAAACACTCCAGCCCCAGCGCAGAAGCCACTTCCGCCGCCCGGCGCCGGCCTCGCCGCCACGTCGCCGCACGTAGCGAACGAAGCCCCTACGTCACTTCCTGTCGCCGCCAGTCCGACCCGGCTCCGTCAGCTGCTACGCTCCTCTCCAAACCCTCCGGGCGGGCGCTGGTCGCCGGGCGCGGTGGGCGTGTCACGTGGGCCCGGCGGTTCCACCGCCTCCCTCCCCGCGGGCGCGGGGCCCCGCCCTCGCTGGCGCCATTGTTATCTGGGCGGCGGTCTGGCTCCCTGCGGCCGGGGGGCGGGGGAAACTCCATGCCCGCCCTGCTTTCCGGAGGTACGGAGGCAACTTGTGTTTGTTGCTCCCAGTCCACGTGGGGCGGCGAATTCCTTCTGTGAATATTAACTCACAGTCCCCCTTAACCCTCCCCCGCAGCACCCCAACCCTGGCACCCCGGTTACGGGTCATGTCCAACAGAAGAGAGCCCCCCATTATATCCCGGGGGATGAGTTGGTTGGTGAAGGCAGTAAGTGGTACTTTAAGAAAGAGGCTACGACCTTCCCTAACCCCAAAGTTGTCTTTTTAAAATATATCTATATCTATATATCTATATCTATACCTATATATATTGATTTCAGAGAGGAAGTGAGAGGGAGAGAGAGGTAGGAACATCATGATGAGAGAGAATCATTGATCTGCTGCCTCCTGCACACCCCCTACTGGGGATCAAGCCTGCAACCTGGGCATGTGCCCTGGGGGTAATCGAACCCATAACCTCTTGGTTCATAGATCTGAGCCACACCAGCTGGGCCCCAAAGTTGTCTTTAGGTGGGGAAATCTTAAAATAATCACTTGTTCCCTAACTGGTTTGGCTCAGTGGATAGAATGTTGTCCTGCGGACTGAAGGGTCCCAGGTTCGATTCCAGTCAAGGGCATGTACCTTGGTTGCGGGCACATCCCCAGTAGGGGGTGTGCAGGAGGCTGATGATGGATGTTTCTCTCTCATGGATGTTTCTAACTATTTGTCCTTCTCCCTTCCTCTCTGTAAAAAATCAGTACGACAATTTTAAAAAAAATTTAAAAAATCACTTGCTTTTATTGTGAGTTTACAGTTTTTATGGAGCAGAGGGCACATTCTAAAATAATAGCAACTTTTATTCAGAGTTTCCCTTCTTGGGTTACTGTACTAAATGCTTTATAGGAGTCGCCTGAAGTTGTCCTCTCAATGTCCGGCCAGCACAGTGCCTGACAGTCTGGAGTCTTTCTCAGTCTTGGTTGTGGAATTACTGAATGAGGCATACCTGTTTTACAGGTAAAGAATTTGAGGCACAGGGATTGTGTAACTAGTCCAAAATCAACATGGAGTTGGTGATGAAATTATCTAACCTGCAGGCCAGCCCCAGAACCTGAGCTCTTAAGCACAAATTCTAGTGAAAGACAACCCAAAACATTCATTACCCTCACTGCAGACCTGCATAAGACAGGCTGCTTTGGTTAAATCTCACACAGTAGGCAGTGTCTGGCCAGGCATTCGAAGTAAAACAAACAAAAAATTTTGTTTTGTAATTTGGTAGACTGTTAAATTGATTTTTCACTCAGGATAATGGCTACTTTTCAGTTTGCTGTGTACCATTTATAGCTCTGTTGTGAGGGCATCAATATTGATTGTCTAGGATGTGTACTTGGGATAAGATACCCCGTGGGTGCTCCGTCAACATGATGCAATGAAGATGATTTGAATCCTTGAAGAGCCAGTCTTTTAGATCACTCCCCAATTACTAACTAGAAGAATGTAATGTGTCACAGGTAAATGGTAGCTGTGGCACTTTATCCCCAAGGGGTTGTGCTAGTATAATATGTTAGTCATGGTAATACCTCTTGGACAATCCCAGGAAGAATCAGGACATCGGATATGTCGCATCAATGTTGGCATGTCAACAGTCTGTCCAAAATCAAACCCTTAACACCACAAACCTGCTTCTCCTTGGTGACTTGTATTAACAGCCTCCCAGTAACCAGACTTGAATCATCTTCAATTCTTCCTTCTTTCTCCCATGAACCATTGTCCTTTCTATCACCAAAAATTCTTTAATCCCCAAAACGTGACCTAATCCCAACACCTCGGCTATGATTAGCATTTATATAAACTGGAATTAATGCACACTCTTGCCTTTGCAATCTATTCTTACACTCCAGCCAGTCACACTAAAAAAAATAAAACCTGACAGAGTATAAACCCAATTTAAAGAAAAAGCCGAAACTCAAAAACAAAGTTTGAGTTTGCCATAATATTTTTAAAAAGTCAATATGCATTATTGTGTAGCACATCTCAAACGTTAATATATTTACTTAAACGTTAATAACATATTTACTTTAAATGTCATTCAAAGCCTAGTTACTAAAGTGTTAGTGTTCTCAAAGACTTGGTATTTCTACACCCCAGCAGTCAAATATAACTTAAGTGTAATAATTTAATAATAAAGTAGTTCTTTAGCCCTAAAAAAAAACAACAACACTAAATGCAGTGTGCATGCACTTGCATAAGGTAGGACCTAAAATTAGGGATCACCCACAGAAAGAATGTTTTTTATTCCCTGATTACCAGTAAAATGAATAGGCCAATGGCCAGGAGGAAGCCCATGGCTGATCCCATCCTGAAAGGACTGCATTGCGTGGGAAACCAGAGAAGTTGGTGAGCATTTGCTCTAGTGTCCAAGAGCACATCCTTTACGTTTTCTTGCCACCCAAATCCAGTAAAGAAGTGCCGGGGACGAGAATAAGAGAGGAAGTAGGAGGAGAGAGATGGGCAGATGGACTGGGATCCCAGGGAAAGAATTGCCCGCCTAGCCACACCCCGGTTTCCCAGGTAACGCGGTAAACAGAACTTGAGCTCCTTTTCCTCTGTGAACTCCATAGGTGTAAAGTGGTAGGTAGAAAGTAGCGGGGAGTGAAGATGTGCTCTTTCGTGAGAGTAGGGTCCTCCAAAGGGCTAGAGCCCCCAAAGAAATTGGAAACTTCCCTTGAGACCGGTACAGGTTTCCCCTTAGAAATGAGTGCTGTTGGAGGCACGAGGGTGCCTGAGAGGAAGTCTCCCCTGAGCATGGGAGCCGGATTAACCCACAAAGGAAAGGATGATGTAGGAGAGAGGAGGGTGTTCAGGGGAACAATATCTCCCACGGAGTGTGGGCTCAGGGGAGGATTAAGAAAAGATTCCCAGTGGAGGGAGAGCCCCTTGGTTAGTAATAAATATGAGGAGAGAACGGCATCATCAGAAACAAAATCTCCATTGAATAAGGGGCTTGAACTTAGATTAAAAAGACAGGATATTTCTAGGACCCCCTTGGAGAGGAGTAATTTAGGAATCAACAGGGTCTCAGCCTCACAGGAAACAAGACCTTCCCTGGGTGTGTTGCCAGAAAATGAGTGTCTTCTGGCAAAGTGTTCTGGAAGGAGAATACAGCATCCCTCGGGTATGGTGTGTGAAAGTCCGCAGGCTCTGGGGAGCAGGAGAGGTCCTGTGGCTGGTGCCCCTGAAGGCTTTGGGGCCTCAGGGGAGAAGCAGCAGGCTTTGGGTGTGGAACCTAGCCAGGAACTGGAAAAAGAACCCACCTGTGTGGTGATGAAGCCCAGTGTAGAGATGACGTCTCCCGTGGAGGTGGACATTGGGTTGCCCCAACCAGAGGAGCCAGATGCCATGAAGAATACAGAGCCCCAAATGGGCTTGGTGATAGAACCTTCTGAGTGCCAGTTTGCCCAACAACCTGAAGAGAAAACAGAGGCTGAAAACTTTGAACCAGGAGTAGAACCTCCAGATCGCATCAGACCCATCTACTCTGGGAAATTTTTTGATCGAATGCCGTGCTCTCCAAGTGTAAGTCTTTTTTTTCTAGTATTTTCCCAGGGAAGTGTATATAGCCATATCTTTATAGAGGTGATAAACTGATGATACTTGTGTTTGGGTTTGTGGAGTCAAACTGCCAATATTTCATTGGGATTCCGATATCTCTTGTCCCATTGGACTCTTTTTAGCTGTTACTTCGTCCAATCTTTTCTGATTCTCTGCCTTCCTTTCTAGATGTCAGCCTTGTTTTCTGTGCACATCAGTGGTTCCTCTTGATTTTTGTTTTCTCCTGTGACCTTTATTTCATTCCTTAGTCTGCATTTCTCAGTCCTCTCACTGAGATACATGTTGTATTCTTTTTAAAAAAAATATTTTTATTGATTTCAGAGAGGAAGGGATGGGGAGAGAGAGATAGAAACATCAATGATGAGAGAATCATTGATCGGCTGCCTCCTGCATGCCCTACACTGGGGATCGAGCCTGTAACCCACCTGGGCATGTGCCATTGGCCAGAATCGAACCTGGGACCCTTCAGTCCTCAGGCCAGTGTTTTATCCACTGAGCCAAACCAGTTAGGGCCATGTTGTATTCTAATATTCATGTTTCTTTTTCAATTTACATGGAATGCTCTTTTTTGGTCAACAACCTGTATTGCTTTTCATTTTTTCTTTTCCTTTTTCAATGAGAGAGGGGGGGGGGGGGGAGAGAAAGAAAGGGAGAGAGAGAGAGAGAGAGAGAGAGAGAGAGAGAGAGAGAGAGAGGTGTTGTTCCACTTATTTATGCATGCATTGATTGATTCTTGTATGTGCCCTGACCAGGGTTTGAACTCAAAACTTTGGCATATCAGTATGACACTCAAACCTTTTTAGGTAAATAATCATATTGATGCTTTTATCTTTCCTTCTTTAGTATATATGCTTCTCGTTTCTATTTTCTATATCATTGCATTGCCTATGGTCAATAAAATGACATTGATAGTAAGTATTCTTTCTTGACTTTCATGGAAATAATTCTAATGTTTCAATTTTGAGTATTATTTTTGCTGAATATTTTTGATGTGTCAAGTTAAGGACACCTATATCTACTCTGAGTTTGCTAAGAATGTTTAAAAATCAGAAATAGACCTTGAGCTATTAAAATGTTTCCCATTGGTTGAACTACACCTTTTCCAGATTGAAATGGTTCATTTTCTAACAGCAAACAATCTTCATATTTCTGGGCTAAGCCCTACTTGGTTGTGATATAGGAAGAAGGAAGGAAAGGTTCAAAGAAAGGCTAACCAATTGTAGTGCCTACAATGAAGAGACAGTATGTTAGGCACTGTGGCTACAAAGCTGAAAAATGATATGGTGTCTGCTTTCAAGGAACTTATGAAGTATGGTAGCAATCATCTCAGGTAGAAACTATAGTTTAACTTTAACCCTGCTGTTTGGCTTCTGTACTTATTCACTTTGTTTAACAATAGAAAAGTTATTTTGATTTTCTGAATTATATAAATTATCCCATTCGATTAAATACCCTATTGATAGTGTTATGCCCAGATTTCAGGATCCCCAAGAAACCACACCAGGGAGCCAGCCAGGTCCGATGCAAAAGCATAAGAGTCTTTATTCGAGCTAGCTCGGCTCCCCCACCTTGCCGACACCGCAGCAGGAAGCAGAGAGAGACCTAGCCCGTGAAGAGGACTTTTATAGGGGGGTGGAGTCAGGGTAGGAGAGGGGACTGTGGGCCCTGCCGATTGGCCAGGCGCAAGTCGGTGTCTTGTTCCTGGGTGTGGCTAGCAGAGGCTTAGACTTCCGGGAAGAAGCTCCTTGCCAAGCACATGGCTGCCCCAAAATGGAGGACACAGGGTAAGATGGAGGGCGTAGTCCTCGCCCTTTCAGTAGTAATGTGAATATCCCATGGGTTGTGGTCATACTGGTCTTAGAAAGCACATTGTCCTTTACCTGGGAAGGACAGCACAATTATCCCAAGGTCAGAGGGCTCCAGTTAACATGTCCCTGTTGACTCAGTGTTCCGGAGACCCAAAAACTGTAATTTAGATCAAACCAGGTTCCTCATTCCAGACCCGAGGGCTCCAGATAATGTGTTTCTGTCAATTCAGTGATCCAGAGACCCAAAACTATAACTTAGATAACATGCTGCTGCTGCTTCTGTAAACTGCTTTTTTGCGAACCAGGTTCCTCATTCCAATCCCTGGGATGTAATCAATAACATTGTGATTTTTGCTTATATAAACCTGGTATTGTAGCCATCTTATCACTATGAAATCTGGGAGAGCAAAATGCCCCCTCATAGTCCCGGATTTCCAATAAATGTGACTCTTTAATTCAACTTCTTGAGGCGTCCTTGTATTATTCGCGGGGTATATTACAACACTTAGAGTTTAGAGACTCAAGACCAATAGACAAATGACTTTATGATATGGTAAAAGTCATGTAAAAGGAATGCCTTATTTTTCTTTCCTGTTCTATACTAAGGGAACCTGGTAGATATTTGAGAAATGGGTAGAAGCAAATGAGTCACCTAATTGTAAATCTTGTGAGAACTTGCTAGTTATGTAAGCCCTGTTACTGAAAATTCTTATTTTGTATGAATTTGTCAAGATCCAATCTCTGCAGAATTCTGAGAAGTGGGTGGTTGCATAATGGGTTCAGG